GTGCGAATCTGCGTTTTCTGAAATGAAAATAATTAAATCCAAATACCGCAATCGACTTACCGACGAACATTTGTCTTCCTGTTTACGTTTGGCACTTACTAAATACGTGCCTTCCTATGAGAAATTAGCAGAAAATACGCAGTGCCATGCATCGACCTCTAAGTAAATCAGTCCAGAGAGGCCCGAAAACTGATAAAAACACTCTTAGTTCATGTGATTGGCTTCATACTTATTTTTAGTAGTTATTAGTTATTAACTTGTATAATAAGAAACTGTACTTCTTTAATTGTAAATAAAAGTATATTTAAATAGTGATATGTGCGCAATACCTACAATAAACGATTTAACATAAAAAAATATTGTCTTATTGCAAGTCGATCGCTTGTCGTCTCAATTTATTGATATAGATCGCCATTAGTGAAAGTCTGCCCACCCCTGGCCTAGGATGTAGTTACGGTGAATTTCAATCAATATTTCAATACTAGCAATGTTGTTTTAAATTTCAGTAATTAAAATTGGAATGATAAATGAATAGGAGTGAAGGAAACTTTTTTATATTTTTATTTTATGGATATACGTGAAATATGTAGGTATTATATATACCTAATATAATAAATATGTTTTAAAAAGTATCATTCATATAATAAATTTAATTTTCAAACTTCGCGCGAAAACAAACTTCTGTTATGGCGTCGCTTTGACGTCACGACCCTCTAAAACTAATATCGTTATATGTATGCATAAGGTTTAATTCTCTAAGTTCTGTTATGAGTAAGGGACTGTCGGCGTCGCGATTTCTTTTCGCGCGAATTTATAATCACGATTCTGGAACACATTGAATCGTATAGGAATATCCACACTTGCGGAAAATAAATAGCGCGGAAAAAAATTGAGTTTATAAACTACAGATTTTCGCTAATGCTCTGTCGTGCATCAGCACTAGCGGTAGAAAGATGTTACGTAGTTCGTCTCCCGTCTTCTCGGCGGCCGCCGAAATAAACGAAATTGATATTAAAATGTTTATAACGCTAATTCAAAATAGGCCTCCCCTATGGGACAAATTTCAGGCAAACTACCATAATAGGCAATTGAAAACGAGGTTGTAGAAAGAAATAGACATTGAATCGAATCAAACAATTTAAAATTGTTCTGTAGTTCAGTTTTAGGGTGCGGATACCCAAAGGGTAAAACGGAAACCCTATTACTAAGGTTTCGCCGTCCGTCTGTCACCAGTCTGCATCTCATAAACCGTAAAAGTTAGACAGTTGATATTTTCACAAATACTAAAAACCAGAATTAAATAAATAGTTAAGGGGACTCTCATACAATAAACGTGTTTTTTTTTGCTCGTTTCTGATACGAAACTTTAGGCGCACGAACCCGACTCGAAACCCAACCGGGAGCTATATAAAACTGAAAAAATCGGGCGGAATTTAAATCGCAATGCGGACAGTCCCTTAGACTTAGACAGGGCGTAACGTCACTGTTTGTGGTCATATAACTACATAGTATAAAACAAAGTCGCTTTCTCTGTCCCTATGTAGGTATGCTTAAATCTTTAAAACTACGCAACGGATTGCGATGCGGTTTTTTTCATAGATAGGGTAATTCAAAACGAAGGTTTTTATGAATAATATAAGACCACGCGGGCAAAACTGCTGGCGGAAAGCTTGTGATAGTATGAAACGTTGAGTATAAAATATTTGTTTTTTATAATTAAATTAAGCAATATTATTAATATACTTGTAATAGGCATAAATGTGTGATTATCGGTAATACAAAAATAAGTTTTTTTTTTTGTTTACTTCCTACACCCGTATTAGAATGATAATCTGCAACCACATAAATAATGAACGTCAAGGTAGCAGGTACACCAATGAGTTTAAGGGTCTTATGTATGTCAATAAATTGTGAGTAAAAACAATGTCAATTTTTTACCGTTGCTTTAAGCGTCAAGTAATATCTCGAATTCTATTGAAGTGAGTGAAATGAAAGTTCGTACTATAGAAATCACTAATTATTCAAAATTTTTGACATGTAATTCAAACTATCGTATTTTTAGCGTGCCTGCTATCTAGACGTCTATTTAGCAGACACACTAAAATCTTCCAATACTCTTAATTACAAGCTTATTAATGTCCCCACAGCTGGGGCTCAGGCCTTCCCTATATGTGAGTATAAACGACTGTAAATGCAGCCGTGACCAATGGCTACACAGAGGAGGAGGTCAAGATCATAAATATTTGGTCACCCATCCCATGACCGGCCATTGCGAAAGTTGCTTAACAACCGTATCGCAAACCGAGCGCGCTAACTACTGCGCCATCGCGCTCCTCCGCCATCTCTTAATTTATAGTGTCACTAATATGCTATAGATCACTATTTGTCACAATTCATTGACATACATAAGACTCCACAAACTCGTTGGTGTGCCTGCTACTTTGACATTCACCGCATTCACCATAAGCTAGTCGCGTATTACACAGATGCATAATAAGGACAACGATATTTTATTTTAGTTATTTAAATTAAGTTACCGTACAACACACACGAAAATTGTATAATTTAAAAAGACGTCAAGGAAACACAAAGATATTTAGTCCCTGCAAAATGTAGATTTTATCGTGTGGGAGATAATGCTACACACTTGAAAAATTGTGTTCAGAAGGAAAAACAAGAGCAATTATTTTCATCAACATGAAATTGAATGCCATAGAATAACATAGACGACTTACAAAGCTTCCCAATAAACATACACTCCAAGCCAGATTATTAAGTCACATCCATCTTTACCTGGAGCCACTATTCAGACAAGGTTATTCTTTTTAGGATTCTGTATCCAATGGGCTAAAACGGGACCCTATTACTAATATTCCGGAGCCTGCTTTCACAAAGCTGTATCTGCCATAATATATTTAGTTTAAATTTTCACAGATGATGTATTTCTGTTGCCGCTATACTCGTAATTACAACTGCTAATAACAGAACAAAAATATATTTAACAGGATTCCTGTACAACAAATGTGAATTTTTCGTGAAAAAACAAAGAACTCGTGACAAAAATGTCCAAGTGCTTTCTAAAGCTTGATATTGCAGTATGTTGATGTACTAAGGAATATCACTCAGTACTCAATGCGAAAGTCTGGTGCTGGAACACCTGGTGGCGGCGGCTCGAAACAAACTTCTAGCGATTGCTGAAAAAAGTTTAAATATTTTCAAGAGCTATAATTCAGTAACAAATTAACTTTCAACCATTACGAAACTGTTTTCGGAACGTATTTTCACTCCGGTTTCTGATCTGTGCTGAGTCGCTAAATTTTACGATTGTGCAATCTGAGCAGTTTAATTTGTTTTTCTATAATACTAGCTGTTTTGCCGCGAACTTGCACGCGTAAATTATACCCTATGTCAAACCCGTATTATGTAGCTAGTCGTAGGTGAAAGAATTTTTAAAATCGGTCCAGTTGTTTCGGAGCCTCTTTAATGCAAACAAACAATTAGATCTTACATATAATATTAGCATAGATAAAGAAGATTTTCGCTAATTTTAAACTTTTAAAAAGCACCTTCAATATGTGTTATGATTTTTCATACTTTACATTACACTGCTGCCACCAAGTGGTCCAGCATCTGACCTCAGCACTATATTTTTGTATAGGGTACTGATTTATGTACATCATGTATTAGAACTTTAGTATAAAAAAAGCTCTTGAACATTTTTGTCATGACCTCATTTGTGTAGAAAGTATGGGTAGGTATTAGAAATACCCAAGCCAAAAAAAAATTAAAAGAATATATTTTCTATTACTTTAAAGTTCACAGAAGTTTTGAGTCATTATGGGTGACCATAATGATTATATAACTAGGTGCATAAAATCTGTTATAAAAAGAAATATTAAATCCAAATAGAACATAAGATATTCTGAAATAATCCTGTTACAATATTTCAATGTGGTGAATGAGTACCATATATCCTTTTTAAGAGTCACTTGAGATATTTCCATCATAATAATATGCTAAAAATACTGTCACTTTTTTTCTTCATATATCACAGATATACATACTAATATGAACAGCACCACATCAGGTTATAACAAATGACAAATTTTTTGCTACAAATTTTAGGAAAAAATGTATCTTACCTGTGTATAACTCTGGACTGGATCTAATGAAATGCAAGTTAAAAGAGCTTTATAAAAATGTGGTGTGCATAGACCCAAATGGTCATCAAATTAAGGCTTAAAATTGATTGGAGTTTGCTTTTTTATAGTCATCCAATGTGCTATCAACTGTACTTAAAAATTATGATTCAGAGATTACACAATTACACATAATTTCATAATTAGACCACCATGTTTTATCATTGTTAATACAAATACTGACCTTTTGTGTGTCTATTTAATCCATTGCCCTTATCTCTAGACTAAGTAATTCGCAAATTATTTGGTCACCTTTTTTGGCTTACACAGATGATAGTTTAAGAGAATAAATATGAACAAGGATACTGTGGATACATATGGGAAATGTATAAAAACATGGCGATTTCAAAAGAACATAATTTCTATTTAGTTTTTGCATTTTAAGTACAAGGTGTTTTTCTGTGGCTTCACCTATAAATTATAGCCTATGTCACCCACATATTATGTAGGTTCCATAGGTGAGAGAATGTTTAAATTGGCTCAGTAGTTTTGGATCCTATTCAATGCAAACAAGCAAACAATTGAGCCTTTCTTTTTTATAATATTAGAATAGATAGAAACTCTTTTATGGTCTTGATCTGTAACTGTGACTGAGAAAGAATCAGTTATGTATTTGCAAATTTTTTTATTTATGCAGCTACTGGAAATTTTAGCCATTGGATTATTTTATTTTCTTAATTATTAAATAAATCTAGTACTAAAGCTTATCCAATATTATTTTCCACAAACCTACACATCTCAGGGGTTGTCTTTAATACACTCGAGCAAATTAATTTAATTATAAGGCACAAAGCAGCTAACCTGAAATCTGGTGGTGGAAGGTTGATCTTTAAACCGCGAGGGTTTCTCCATATCACGAAAACTGCTTTTCGTCATTGGAGACCTAGAGGGCTGCACGAGAACATTGCTATTACTCGAGTCCGGTAGAAGCTTATCCTTTTCGTTAGCATCTCGCGTCTTGAAATGTAACCCCGCTTCGAGATCTTCATTTCTAGATAAAACTTCTGTAGGATACTGGATGTTACCATTAGTGGCCGCCATAGATTTGGCAGAACTTATTTTCCTAAATCGACCAATAATAACATCTTCCTCATCGTTTACCGGCACGTGTAAGCTTTCTGAATGTTCCGAAACTTTAGTGATTCCGTCAGATTTAACCGGGCTCATTTCAATATCTTTCTGAGGTAAACTCATTTTTGAAATGTGATTCCACAAGTTCTTAAGGATCACTTTTCTATAATATTTTAATTCATAATTCAGCAAACACTTTGAATTTTGTCAAAAAACCGGTGCTTCGAATTCCTCGACAAGCAACGTGGGCACGATCCGAACGTAGAAAAGAAATAATGACTTGAATTTTGATGTCAATAGTATTTTTCACAAGTATAAACCGTCCTCTTCAGGTTGAAAAATAAGTTTTAACTGTTATGAAAAATCTAATTCGATATCACTCAAATTTCACGCGCGCAAATAACCAACAAAATAGATACAACATCTCACGATACAATCGGATTTCGACTGTTTGATTTTTGACAGTTAACTGTAGTGTCGCCAGCCTTACATATAGAAAAATAAATGCTATACGAACTGCCAAAGATAGTAGATTTGAACAAGAATAACGAAATATAAAAAAAAAGATGTCGCTGCGGTACTTTCTTGATTTCTCCATGACAACCCTTCCGGTTCTCTTTTATATATAAAAGTAAATGTGGAAGTATTTAAAAAAAAACATTAGTTACCGAACCTTTCCGGTTTTCTTTCAAGATTAAAGTAAATTAGTTGTCAAAACTCAATAAACAACTCATATTCTATTTGTCTTTTTCGTATTTGTATTGATCTCTAAGTTGCGAACTTTTCAAATTTCAGTTTTTTAATATTTTAGTTGAAAGGAACGAAAATGATTATCTTTGGTCCATTGATTTCCTGCAAAAATCAACTTTTGCTAGAGTCGCCATATAGTGGAGGTGCTTTGTTAGTGCTTTCTTTTTTTTAATACTTCCTCATTCAATAAAAAAGCAAATTTTATTAATTATTTAGTACAAACTTCTAAGATTTTATGCATTTATTTCTTTAATATTAGCCACTTCTTACAGACTTAAACGAATATTAGTAACTTAATTATTAATTTACTTTTAAATTTACATTTACAGATTTTTGTCAAGTTTGAGGTTCGACAAAATCGGAGCTGCAGTATGGTATGGATGTGCCCAGTGCCAGTAAACAGAACCGAACAGAACAATGTTATTGGTTGCGAATACAACCAAATTACAAAGCATTTTCATCTTTCCTTAAAAATCTAAAAATATTGCATTTTCTTCACGTTATTTTATTAAAGCTAAACATATTTTGTCTGCAAATTCGAAGAAATAAAATTTAATAGATTATTATCTTACAGACTATATAATACGCAACTTATTTTTAATAGTGTCAAATACTCTATTGCCTTGCTTTCAAAGAGTTTAAAGTATATATTAGGGAAAACAGAGAGCACTCTCCAATTTTTTGTCATACTGTGTGAAAACGTTGCCAACTATAGATTTAACGGGATTTCCGTTAAATGGCGTGACTGTGTCGGTGTGATGTAAGTCATGTCAACATAATATATTGGTATGACATAATATATGATGATAACATTATTTTTCCACTTAGAAATTTTAAAAATTAAATGAAACATCCGTAAATAGAATAATAAAATGTTTATTTCAATATCACTAGCATTAATGTCGTTTAAACGATCATATTTTATTATTTATGTTCTTCTATCAAATTGTCTATGTAGTGTACTTTTCAATACATTTCCACACTTTTTTCCCAACAAGCAAGATTTTTACTTTTATGCACCAAGCATCACAATCCTAATTATCTTTCGAAGCCTTCTATTATTGAAATATTTTTCTTCATTAATCTATATTAAATAAGAGTGATTCTTTCGTTTCGCCCAAATCTCAACGATTATGAGAAAGTTTTTTTTTATCGACTTTTCAAAAATTTACATATAATCATTCGTGTACCTTTCAAGTATAGATTATTAGTAAAGGCCTTCATGAAAAAAGCTTTCATGTCAAGAAAGTCGCTGGGATGTGATGAACCCACGGAAGGTAATAAAATACGTACGGAAGGTAATGATTGAATTTGGAAGGTAATTAAATAAAATTAAAAATGACGGGAGTGTAATGATTTTGTATGGAGAGTAATGAACAATCAGAAGATGAAATCTTTTACGTGCCTCTAACTGTTTCGTAAATATAATAAGATATACGATTTTTTAAATATTTTTGGACAATAAATAAAAGTCATGGGTGTAATTGAACTTTTGTTTTATTAATTAAATGTGTTATTCATGAACGCATATAAAATAATAGAAAAATTAAAACAAGAAATGAATTATTCAAGCGTACCCCATTTGAAAATGGGAAAAAGCGTTAGAAGAATGATGATTAAAAAAGACTTCTAGAATAGGAAGTTTATTAAAAATCATTGTGTTACAAAAGTAGTAAGTAAGAGAAGTACGATTCCAATTAATTAAATATTAAAAATCCATTCATGATAAACAATAGATTTTCGATTGTCAAATTCCTGGTACGTCGTGTCTTTGCTTTTGCAGATTTTGCATTTTCTCTCTTAACAATTTCTTTCGTAGACACTATAACATAAATTGCTCAAAACCTCAGATAAAGAATTTTCTGTGATTATGTCTGATTTCTTTAAAGATTTAATAATAAGTTCAATGTTAGAGTGCAGCTTGCAGCGTGTCTCTTTTTGATGAAGGTTGAACTATCTAGAATAGTCTATATTTGTTATATACCGAGTAATGTATATGGCCCCATTTCTTACGAAACTTCACATGTAAATTTTCATATTATCGGTTAAATATCTTTTTCGTTTTTTTAATGCACCTTTTTTAATAAATTCATTTTTTCTGGCGCCATTTGACTGTTTTCATCTTCTTGTAGAAAATTTTCAACATTTTGTATTAGTTTCACAGTTTTATTATCTCGATTTTTTCTTTAGTTAATTTCTTTCTCATGGCAAAAGTAGTATTTGACAATAGCCCATACTTCTAGAGCCTCGCAATATTATATCTTCAGCAAAAGATCTTTCTCTTTTTTCGGAAGGCTTTTGTATTTTTCTGATACTCTGTTTTTGTTTAATGAAACAGACAAACTGTTTCATTAAGCAAAAGCTTTTTTTTTTTACTTCTTGTACCTTATCATTATTTATGTCTTTTATGACTTCATCTACTTTCTTTCAATGGTATCTTGAATCTTATCATTTTGTAACTTCCGCGCCATAAACAAATGTCTTCTTAAAATCGCTTTTTCTTTTTTAGTTTGTCATTTTCATTTTGTAGAATTGTTATTGCTTTTTTAGATCTGTACCGCAGCTTCCTCATTGCACTTGTAGTACTGGTTTTTTTATGCACTAAATGTGACTTCGGTGTACTTTGGCTTGATGTGGATTCTTCTTGTTACATAATAGGGTCGTGTAGGAGTATTTGATTACTAGACCCTACAGTATGCTAATACCTAAAGTTAAAATTATTTTATTACTTCATACAAAAACTATGGAAGGTAATGTTTCTTACTCATGACAAACGCTGTTTTCATAAATAAAATAGTAAAAATATTTTTTCGAGCAGCGCGCGTCCTCTTTTGACAACTTGTATTGACGGACTGAGGTTCGCGGGAGGCGTGTTTTGTTTGCCAACAAATATATAGTGTATTACGTGCATAAAAATTTATGTTACATTTTTGTGGATGGGATTCAGTTTTTGGGTTGTCAAAACTTTAAAGACAATTCTATGTTAAACACTTATAAAAATACTGCATTGCAGGTTTATACTAGTAAGTAAATACATTAGTATATAAGTATAAAAATTATGTATTTTTCCCCTAGGAAAGTCAACATAAGTGTATCACAACGTTCTGAGGGAGCATTTGGATAAGGAGAGGAATGAAAAAAATGCGTTTTTGTTTTTTTTTTGTTATGAGGTTTAAACCTGATATAGATAATGGATATTTAAGATTAAAGTACGTCCTACCTTATTCAATAAAAAAAATATGGTTGACTACAATATTCATAAAGACTTTCGACCTGGAATGACGATTAGGACAAAATAGAAGAATCACTCATAAAATAGACTGAGTGAGATTAAAATATATTTTCGATAATTTCATCAAAGTCAACAATTGTATTGCTAAGCAACTTGAAACCCCTTGTTTGGCAGCCTGGCTACATCACTATTAACGTTTCAGTTTACAGGGTTTACCGTTCGATGGCGCTAGTGAAATTGTCACTTCTATTCCATCCCTGCTTGCATTCATGTTGTGTGCGAATCTAAACTTCTTAATACATCATTGAGCTGACCTATATTTTTGATATTTTTAATAGTATTTAAACGTAATAATGCTAACATTTTCTTTATATTTCATTTCATTTTCTTAGTTTATACATTTAATAATTTTTTTTCTCACTATCTAATTTTGTAAGCGTTTTGGACGGAAGCATCTATTAGCTTTTAAGATTTGTTTGTTATAAATAAATCTTTTAAAAACGATTTGTGGAAAAACCGATGAACATAAATTAAAAATATATATATCGCCGCCAAGTAAAGATAAAATAAAGTCTACTATCTAAACTTCTCGATCGTGGTCTAACATAGAAACCCCTCTTTTTCTATTTTGAAAGCTGTCAAAAATGTAAAATAACTGATTTCTCAATGAAAGTTATTTCTCTCTTTTATTTAGTGGTATAAAATAAGTACACTTTTCTGGCAGCCCTAAAAAAACTACTAGAGGGATGTGAGTGCATAAAATATCGATTTGTTACGTATCGATATTGTTAGGTAAAAAATCATAATTTACATTAAAACGTGTTTGGTTTAAATTATTAGTATTAAATGTATAAAGTGTGTGAATTACACAGTGATATGCATCCACTAAGTCATACGAATTGCCTGAAAAATTCTGATATCACATAAACCTCTAAGAAATCACATGAATTCAATTTTAATTTGAATATGGTACAAAATATAAAAAATACTTCCTACTGCAAACGCAAAATGATATTTTATATATTTTCAAAGTTAAAGGGTTCATAATAGAAACATGATTTTATTTTATTTCATCATATTTTCTCCAATTATTATTATTAACACTGTAGTGATTTATAATTTATGTATTTTTTTTAAATCGGTAATTGTCATCATAATGGATTAGTATGTCCTTTGATTTTGTTTTTATATTATTTGTTTTACAAATAATAGTCGTGTTAGGTCCTGTATAACCACTGAGCACCCCAGAACCTAACAGGACTGACGAATTTTTTAAGCACTTGTTACTTTTTTCGCTATATTAGGAATATTTTCCTGTATAGCATCGTTAATGCAAAATTGGTCAAATCTAATAATTAGAAGGAATTATCATCCTTATCAAAATTCGAAATATTTCAAAAAATATTTCTTTCGAATGGGCGTAAGATAATGGATTCGAGTCTTATCTCAGAGTGCCAGGAACAAAGTGGATTTTTTAAGCATTTTACATAAAGAATATTTTACAGTAAAGCAATGAATGCAGAATTGATTGATCAAATATAACAAATAATATTCATTATATTACCCTAATTATACTTACGTAGTGGACGCTATATTGGATTTACATTTGTACACTAAATAATTAATTTTCAAAAAATATATCGTTATTTTCATATATCGGTCGTTTCAAACCTAATATCGCAATCGGCAAAACGGCCAAAAAAAGGAAGCGTAGCTTATAGTTACTACTACTTTACTATATAATCTGTGCTACTATATTGTTAATCTGTGGGAACGGGAAGGCGGGTCTTCCTTTTTTTTGTCTGTTGGTGTTGTTTTCTATTTTTTTTACTAATTTTTCGCTTATTATCTAGTGCAATTAATTTTAGCTGTAATAAATTAATTATTTAGATAATAATTATACTATTTAGTCTAAAGTGGTGACTAGTGGTGCATATTCTACTTAAGGAGTGTGGACCTGAATTATGGGGTTCAGCCAAGGTGAAATTCTTTTAGACAGTCCCACTGGAACATACTATGCCGGTCAAATCGTTAATGGGAGGCTGGTGTTTGAATTACAGAAAGAGAAGAAGATAAGAGGTAATTATAATAGGTTTTTTAATTTATAGGTTTATAGGATTTAATAGGTTTTTTATTTATTAATTAGTATTCACCTTTTCCCAAATTTTGCATTAAAGCACCACAGTACAGAATGGAGTAAATTAGTAATTACAATACCAACAATCAAAATTAAGGAAAATTAGCACAGCATATTAATCATTTACAAAAAAAAAAAATTGTAATGGAAAGCGACTTATGCCTGTTTTCACTAAACTTAGGAGTTGCCCAAATCTGTTACATAAATATTTAGGAATCCCCTAAGGTTCCATAATAGCTCATTTATTACTAAAAATATTTATATCTCAAACATATAATAAAAGTTAGAAAGTTTCTTCGCATTTTATATGAAAATTCAAAACATTTTTTAATAAATTTTATTTACATTTAATTAAAGTATGTAGGTACCATTTTTTGATGACTTTTTGTCGTCTTGTAGGTAGGGACATGATCTCATTGCTATAGAAATTTAGGGACTTCTGAAAAAAAAACCTTTACAATTGGTTTTGGCAGTTCTCGTGTGATGTTAACCTAACACTGCCTAAAGAATTTGGAAGAGACCAAAACAGGTGGAAATCTAAAGCTACAAGGTAGAACCATACGGCAGATGGATTAAAACCTCCCAACCAAACTCTTAATTTTTTGAGTGGAAAAATATTATTTTATTATATTTGGGAAACAAACAATATTTATAATGAATACAATTGAAACTTTTTAAAATAACACATTAATCAGTAAAGTTTCCACTTATAGTTTTTACAATATACATGTCACTTTCCACATAAAAAAAAACACTAACTAAAAGAATCTATAATGTCAACAATTAATACCAAAGTTACACAATGGTCAATATTCAAATTACTCGTACATTAATTATCAAATTAATTAAGACTATAAATAAAAATATCATTTAATGTTTGTCAGGATTATCCTTTATATTTTTTTTAGAGAAGGAATTGAGCAATTACAAATGTTAATGGAGCTAAATTACATGTCATATTCTTAGATCTTGTAATCTATAAACAAAAATATTTTCTGCATAATTAGTTTTAGTTAATGGGAAAGAAAAAAGCTTTTTAGACCATGAACCTATCTGAAGGCATCTTATATTAATATTCTGTAATAAAAATTTTGAGTCAACTTGAGCTTTTAAAATCTTATACAAAAATATTTGATCCCTCTCTAAACTACGATTGAGTAAAGAAGGAATACGAATAGGTAAATCTAAATTTGAGATGCTTTTCAAATTTTCTGTTGATTTTTTTCAATTGCGTCAATTTTGTCAATTGCATCCTCCAAAACAGATTGTACATATGAATTAAACAATAACATCAGAGTGGAGTTATTTAAAGTCCTGTCCAGTCCTCAAGACAAAGCCAAGAATTTGATACACTTTCGTATTTATGTGTTCAATATGTGCATTAAATGTTAATTTGTCATCTAAATATACGCCCAAATCTTTCACCACAAGCACCCTTTTGAGCACAACATTATTCAATTTAAAATTATAATTTATGGGTTTAAGTTTACGGGAGAAACATATAGTATTGCATTTCTCAGGATTTAGAATTAATTAATTCTGTAAACAATACACACACAATTGATCAAGATCTGCCTGTAGTAACTCGCAATCAATGGGATCCTTAATTATCTTAAAATTCATATCATCAACGTAGATAAGAATGTCAAAATACTTAAGAATAGAAATCACGTCATTTATAAATAAATTAAAAAGAAGGGGTCCAAGGTGAGATCCCTGAGGCACTCCTGATGTTAAGGGCACAAAGGTTGAGCAAAAACCTTTAATGGTAACGGCCTGGCTTCATTCTCTCAGATATGACTCAAACCACAGCAGAAGGTCACTATGTATACCGATTTCACCAATTTACTTAAGAAGTATTGAGCGGGAAATTTTGTCAAATGCTTTAGAGTAATCAGTATACACAACATCAACCTGGTTATCCTGATTCATAACGACTGCTACGCGGTGAACGAGTTTACAGAGATTAGATGTGCAAGGTCTAGTGTTATCATGACAAAAAACCACACCCCTTCTATTCAAATCGATGGCCGTGCCTGGCAGTAATAGCTCATCATTATGAGCTATTACTGCCTGCATTATTCATTAATAATGCCCTCCCTGCGCATGTTCTTGTCGTACGTGATCCACTTTTCATCATCAGTTATCAGCTTCAAAGACCTTAAAACTGTGCTAACTAGCATACCTGAGCGCAGTAAGCGCGCCATAATCATTTTAAAAATGCTATGCTGTATTATGCGAAACAGTAGGAACAACAGTAGTAAGTCATCTAAAAACCGACGGGCTCACATTTTATTCGTAAGTATACATCTTTAACTGATTTGCGTTTTTATCAGAAAAATAAATAATGTATCTTAAAAAGTAAGAGTAAATACTCCCGTGACAAATTGTGAAAAAGATCTGTCAAAGATTATGTAAATAACAGAACGGACAATTCGATTTTAGTGCCTACGCTCTACCTTACATTTATTTGAAAATCTATATGAGACTGCGACTCTGAAACTCCGGGGTTTAAAATTCAGGGCATCGAAACCTAGCTCCGGAGCTAAAAAAAATACTCCGATTCCGTTTTCCATCGGTGCTCTCGTGTTATTGTACATCAGTGTCATTATTTATACATGAGCAAATAATATATACGCTAACGACAAAGAGAAATAATAATGTTAGACATCAACATTTTTCAAGTTGAACTGTTGATCAAATTCTTTAACTTGTTTAGGTAAAAGTAGGCGTTAAACATGCATTAAACCATTATACGTCGAGCCTGGGACATGTTCAATTATAGTCTCTGAATAATTGGAGAGTATAGTGCCTGGTGCGTGTGTATATGCTGAGGACAAGTTTTGACATCGTATTAATACTGACATAACCCTTTTTTATTGTAATATCCTTAGTAATTATTCTAAGGTAATATCATTGAATTTCTTCATTAAATTCACTCATTTTGACAGTAAGAAAACAAATGAAAATCACATTTTTTTCTTATTTGAATTAAGAGTTACGGCTGTCCCATTTCAAAACCTAGTAAATCTACAAAAAGTAGAAATTGTGTTTTTTTGTTAAAAGTGGTTTTCCAATAAGTCCCCACAAGATGCCAAAATGCCCTATATTAAAATTCACTTCTATCAAAAGTTATAGGGTACCCTAAACCTAGTAAGTGCTTCTAAATTTATGAAAAGTTAAGTTTTAACCATTATAAAACCTAGTATGTATCTTTAACTATTTCACAATTCTAGTATGTGTTAGCGCATACTAGGTTTTTGAAATTGTCAAATCTAGTTACTGGGTTATGAAGTGAATAAATGTATAGAAACAATATTTTGTGGTTTTCGTAAGACATTAAAATATTGAGTTACTAAGTTTTGCTAACTAAGTTTATAATAGTAGTACATGTAAAGATTTTCGTTGTAGTGTAGAAGTTTATCGACAAACAATTAAAAGACTTAATATTTCATTTAATATGCCAAAAGACAATAAGTGCGCGGATTGTTCATTTTTTGAAGTAGAAATTAAGAGAAATGCACATAAAGGTACTGAAGTGCTAGAAGATATTTCGACTAAACAAAAAGAACATCAAGAAAAAGTTAAATTAGCAATGGAACCATAGACTAGATCAGAGGTTCCCAAACTTATGTCGTCTAACTTATGCCCATTTTGAGTATTTAACTTAAACCACTATAACTTCTTGGGAGCTATATTAGTGGAAATTAAAATTTCATTCTAAAGAAGACGTAAATTTATTTTATTTATTCAATAAAACAGGACAAATATGCATATATAAATTATACTGTGAGAAATATAGAACTGAGTTATTATGAGCAATCTCTTAATTAACATTATGAGTTGATGTTCTCAACTTATAGTCGGTAGTTGAAAGCTCAGTCAGTGTCGAAGAGTCCACGTTGATGAAATCACAAGTCGCCGTTTAATAACTTTAAATATAATGTTTTGCCCCCATTACAATATATTAGGTCATTACATATGAAATCGGTGTTTAGTATGGCATCAACAAAAAGTCTAATATTTTTTAATATACTATATTTATTTAATCAAAGTATAAACCATTGTTATCTATGCACTTTTGTCATCTCATAGGTAGGTCATTGATCCCTTTACTGAAAAAACCATTCGGACGGGAATCAATAAAATCTTTGAAGGCGATTTGCACTGCCCCACAGGAGTTGATTTTTTTCCTTGCAAGAAGTTATCCAAATTTCGAAAAAAATGGTAATCTTTGGAGCAAGGTCCGGGACGTACGGTGGATGTCTTAGACATTCCAATTGAAGCTCTTCTAATTTGGTAGCCGTCTGTTGTGCAACGAGTGGTCTAGCGTTATCGTGAAGTAGCAGTGGCGTAGAGCGATTGACCAGCCTCGGTTGTTTAACAGCTAGTTTTTCCAGCATGGTTTGCACTTGCTGACAATAGACGTCTGCCGTAATCGTCTGGCCAGATTTAAGAAAACTGTAATAAGCGACACCGGCACTAGTCCACTTTCACAATACCCTTCAATTCTTCATTATAAACTTGGGTCTCCGGCCGTCCATGAGGCTCGAAATTTCCAGAACGAAAACGTTGGAACCAAAAACGTACTGTGTTTTCTTTTGCGATACAACCGCCATACACATCATTAACCCTTCGAGCCTTTTCCGCAGCACTGGTACCATGGTGGAACTCGTACTCGTAAATAACACGATATTTCAATTTTTCCATATTTAATACTGGGTGACGTAAATAGAACAAATAGAAGAAAAAAAAAAACAAATGAATACCGCCTAATGAAACACAAATACATGTGTAAATGGCTGTATTGAATTTACTAGCTTTTGATCTGGATAAGCTGATTTTTAGCTAATATGTTAAACCAGATCAAAATCTAGTAAAAGAACTTACTAGGTTTAAAATGGTTTTGGAAGTCAATTTTTACTTAGACGTTTTATTGTTAAAATTATTTTAGCTCATAAAATTTGTAGAATGAAACTTAGACAAATAATGTATACATCAAATTAACAGTTTCAAACTACTCCTTCTTGTAAATAATAATTTCTCAACAGGTGTTAAATAGTTTAAAAGAGCTACCCTAAAAAGAGTTTTTTTGCTCTCCTGTAAAATTTAGTCCAAAACAGTTACTAGGTTTTGAACTGGGACAGCCGGTTATCTCACGTCATTATTATATTATAAAATAATATTTTTCTCTAGCTCAAAAAGTCCATCATTACAATGTGGAAGCAAGGCTTAAATTCTTACTTCACTTTTTTTTAATTTATTAAGTAAAATACTCATAAGTAAAGATTCAACTTATAAGTCTACTAACTTTCCGCCAGCGGCTTCGCCCGCGTGGTCTTGTATTATATACAAAAACCTTCCTTTTGAATCACCCTATCTATGAAAAAAAAAAGCGCATCGAAATCCGTTATGTAGTTTTAAAAAATAGCTTAACCGATTGAATTTTGCTTAAAAATCAAAAAAGACATCAAAAAAGTAGGGCTATATTTACAGGAAAACCTATGCGATGTCTGTGTTTTTTAAATATGTCCGCGGTGCAGATCCCTCCGCACGCGAGACTGTCTCTCTTTTGACCGATTATTTAGCATATTTGATAAGATTGATAAATACCAATGCACTTTATACATCCAAATAAAACAATCTCTAAATAGATAGTCATTAAGTCTTTAAGACTCTTTTATTATAACCACTGATGTTCTTATGTACACCCACAATTTGGCAAATCGAAACCATAGAGTTGAGCACTCATAAATAACTTAGTAGCGCGCCGCCAGAGTTTTTTATTTATAGAGAGGAAGCTAGACATGTCCTTGGTTCAATACAATGATAACTTTTTACAATCTACAAATGTGTTACTATGGCGTATAGGCTGTTTAATTTGTTTTATTTTTATTGCAATATTCAACTTTATCATGTTGATAATAAAGATGAATTGGTGTCTAACTCGTTGGCAGAAAATATAATTGTGGTAATTTTATAAATATGGTTGTCAATATTTCTTTAGTGGATAATTGTATTTTACAACAATAAGTCTGGCGAATAAATCAACCGATTAGCGATTCATGGTTTACCGGCCTTTGCATTACCTGCGACAGTCAGTAAAGATTACAAAATAGTAATTATTTTGTAATCTGTACTGACTGTCGCCAAGTTGCCGCTTACATTTTATATAATTAGATGGATATATGCAATTATTTTTCAGCATATTCTATTAACGATTTTAAACCATAGGATAAAATCTGTACAATGTGGCCAATATTTCCCTGTATAGTATGCAGACCCGAAATATAGTACAATAATTTATTTATGTAAGTGATTATCTTTAATGTTTTAGTACAGTCGACAACCCTACTTATGAAAAGCCTCATCAACTTTACTAATTTTACGTAACGTTTTAGCTCGCTCTGTAAAATAATGTGTTTATCAGTCTTTGTATGTATGTATGTTTGTTTCTATGTGGCGTTCTAGAGACCAAATGCGTAGGCCGATTTAACTTAAATAAAAACTAAAAAGAAAGAAACGATCCCAGTAGTTTAGAATTCTGTTAAGTAATGCTAAATAACTACACAATGAAATAGAATATGCACATAAAACAAATCATAAATTCTAATGCAGAACAGAACGACTCACAGTCGGGGCCCATACAAATTTTACCAATCAAATCTTCCCAAGAGGAGATTTGATTGGTAAAAACTTACTTACTTATCAGAATTCTTAACTACTTTAAGCTGATTTATATGATAGGATACTTTTTATCCTACTTAACATTTCCAACGCGGGCTAACCGCTGGCGAAAGCTAGTAGTATTATAAATATAACCAACCTGTGTTAACTACGTTCTAACTAATCGAAACAAACTAAACACTTAACAAAGATTATTTCGTCATCATTAATTAACACTTCAAGATAAAAATAATAAATAAATGAGCATAGGTTATAATGTATTGTGATGCCGAAACAAACGTACATTTGACCTTGAATTTTTAAAATAGGCGAACGATTGTCTGTTTGATGCGGTTTGTTAAGTTATTCAGTTTTAGATTAATATATGTATGCTACTTATTCGTTTTATAAAATTTTGATATAAATTCTCGACCACGAAAAAATGTTTCGTGCTCTCGTCTGTCCGAAGAAAATGCTATTGAAGTCGGGCGGAAGTTTCTGTCGGTTTTTAATTAAATGACAGGCCTCCTATTCGCAAATAATACTTATCTAAAATTTATCTATCATCTGACCGACGGATTAAATAGTTTCGTTAGTTAGTCAACAGAATAGCATAGTTGCAGGCTACAATTCATAGCTATTGAAACAACATTTGCTCATATCCTTGTGGCTCACAAAATCTGTAACAACTTTTAGTTAGGGGAGTTTTGTACTTATTTACACCACATAAATAAGTGATTGAGAATCCTTCACTTGGCAAAAATGAATCTAATCAGGTGTGTTATTAATTATTGTATTATTTAAATTCCAGGCATACATTTATCAGTGCACGGGTTCTGCTCTGTGCATTGGACAACGCAGCGCAACCGCCAGGTCAACAATCGCACAGTATCCTATACGGTTGCGCACGACTCTTACGAGGAATACATCAGTCTGAAGGTGCAACTCTTCGGGAGTAAGAATGGTGAGTTGTTTCAAATGTTTACTTTTATTGTTTAACTAGCTGTTTTCCCGCATCTTCGCCCGCGTAAATTATAAGTGTCACCGGCGTATGATGTTTCTAGGCTATAATTTACGTTTTTATCAGAAACAGCTAGTTAAATAGAAATTGGTTCTCAATTGACTAAGAAATCGGTGAACATAGCTACTTACATAAAAATATACATACCCGTTTGAACATAGAAACTCCTTCTTTCGGATTTTGAATGAATGCAAAATACGCTCTTTTGTTTTTTCGCTGATATAAACATTTCGTCTAAATATTTAGGTGATATTTGGTGAAAGCATACTTAGACATCTAATTTTCCGGGCTGAAATCGCTTAAACCAAGTTTGTGCTACTCCCACATAAACTACCCTAGGTTCATAAACGTCACAAAATTTTTCATGAATCAAATGAAATTCTCATATTTTCATAGTTTGAATTCGGAGTTATCTTCTTTAAAATTTAAACTTTTTAATGATACTGAAACCAGCCAGATACAAATGGTATTGCCAGAAATATTTTATTACAAGTTATGCATACTATGTGCGAAAAGACTTTTTCCCCAACCTAATAGATCGCTGACGAACATATAACCGACATTATATAATCTTTTCGATTTTGAAGTTGGTTAAAAAAGTGGCCAAGTGCAAGTCGGACTCGTGCACGAAAAGTTCCGTACAAGAATCGAGCAATAGGATCACGTTTTTGTATAGGATACCTATAGGATATAGGTATCATCTGTAAAAATATTAACTACAACTATCACAGTTCATACAGCCTGGTGACAGACAGACGAACGGACGGGCAGCGGAGTCTTAGTAATGAGGTCCCGTTTTTAACCTTTCGGTCCAGCCCTGCGATTCTCTAAAAATCCGAACCCGAATTTCAATCCACTCCGATTGAGCTGATGCCGCTTTTGAAGTCCGAATTTACTTCAAAAGCGGCATCAGCTCAACCTTGCGTTGGTAAAATCGTTTCGTGGCATAAGAGAAGTTAGTTTCGACATTACGTAGTGATAGAATATCGGAGACACGTATAATCATTCAATTTTGTTTTGTATATCTGTACAAAAAATGGAATCAATAAAATTTATACTCTAAATGACGTGAATTCGCACACATGAGTGAATTCAAATTCTCGTCCGGATATTTACGGAATTACTCCCCAGAAGTCTGAAAATCATGGACATTATTATTAAAGATCGATCGTATCGACAACATTCAGTAGTATCTCTTATTTCCGTCATCGATACCATTGAAGAACACCTTGTCGAGTAATATTAATAAAACTTGAAAAAAAAAAAATTGTTTCCAATGTCCCTTCATTAATTGTAGCGGAGCGCCACCTCAAACCGGGCAAGTTCGAATACCCGTTCACGTTCCAGCTGCCTGCTAACTGTCCCTCATCGTTCGAGGGATCAGTCGGTCATGTACGGTATGAACTGAAAGCCGTCATGGACATACCATACGCTATAGACAAGGAGGTGTTCAGGGCATTATGTGTACACGCACCGCTCGATCTCAACTTGATCAACTGCAAGGTCAGTCGCCACAACAACACAGTTAAAAGTCTAATTTAACTCCGAAAGATTTACATGGAGTATGGCTTTATTTTGCAAGTAATAAGTTTTTATAAATTTGTTGCACTTATCATACATCTGTAGATAAACGACCTCGCTTAACTAACTACCTCTCTCCTCTGTCTCCTATATTTCACTTCGAAAGATCTAACGCCCCTGAAAAAGGTTAGTTGGTGTTCCAGGAACTAACCTCTACACTGAGTATTGAATAATGATACCTTAAGTACTTCAATATACTAAAGAATCGACCATTAAAATTCTAGTACATTTTATCATTAGCTCTTCTAAAAACCTATATGCAATATTTCAATTGTATGGGATGAAAATGGCTACAGAATTTATTTTCAAGTTTTGACGAATATACATTGCAAGTTAAATAGAATCTTGTTTTAAAACTATATGCTTTGACATCCCTTTGATACATTTGTAATTCACTAGCACATCGTAGTTAAAAAAAAAACTAATAAATAAGCATTCGACTGCAAAACAAGTGTCGGTTGCTCTATTATACACTGAGTTGTAGGGACTATTGCTTAACACTGGGTTGTACAAATATTTTTAGAGCAGCTTTCTGTCATACTTGCGTAATACTAATAACACACCAATTACCCATCTTAGAGCAAGTAGTGATCTTTTTGTATATTATGTGTTAGTAGTCTAATAACAGAATTATCCATCTTAAGCAAATTATTGATTACAAGAAATGAACATAGATGTGGTATTCAGGATCCTGCTTCATTCGAGTTTGACCAAACTTACTGCTGTTGGTGCTGCACGTCTGGTTCTTCGGAGACTATAGTGAAGATCCCGACACGAGGGTTTTGTCCCGGACAGGTGATACCTATAGAGGTCAGCTGTCAGAACCGGAGTACGGTGGAAATAGAGTACATTTCCTTCCGCATTAAAAAGGTAGGTACCAGATATTATAGGTACCTAGAGTTTGATACAACTGTAAGATGTAAGTGTTTTGCTAGCTAGTTCGAAACATAATAATTTAAAAATGATTTGTTTTTTGCGTACGCTGACAATTAAGTTGCACGCTAAGCCGTTGGTCCCAACTGCATTTGCAGTCGTTAACACCCAGTTACAGTCGTTAATACCCAGCAATCTGGGCCCGCGATAAGGGACATAGCTCATCCTACCTATTCGATTCCATGGCCCAGCTTATAATTATAGTTACAATGATATAGTGTAATGACGTATGGTCCATTTTAGTGGGTTTCTGCGGCTAGCAATCAAGATATTTTTATTCTACAAAAGAGAGCTGCCCGCGCTATATATAATTTACATTTACATTTAAAGAAATAAATATTTTACTGTTGCCTCTCAATACATTTATGAAAATATTATGGACGCAAGAAAACATTGCGATTCCTTCACAAAAAAAGTAGTGTTCATAATCTTAACACAAGAAATAAAAAATAAACTCGCCGTTCCAAGCTTCAGACTTCAGAAAACCAGGGGATCATTTCTGGGTATATGCATTGCTATGTTCAATAAAGTTCCACAAAATGCAATTGACCTACCCATAAATAAAAAAATTCATGTAAAGAACATACTTACGAGTAAAGGCTATTAGTTGATGATTATTTTAAGGATCGCAATGCATGGAATTAATAGCCTTCGCTTTGTTCTATAACGACTAATTATAAGTCAAAGTCAAAATAATCTTTATTCAAATAGACTTCTTAAAAGTACTTTTAATAATAATAATGGAACCAAGATAATTTTTGATATATAATGAGTTTAGAAGTAATCACCTATACAGTTGCTGGATCATCTCAAGTACAATCGTTCTTATCTGTTATATAATCGGATACCTTATAATAAGCTTTTTTAATAAGTATTTTTTAATAGTAGATTTAAACTGCATGATATCTTATTGTTATATTTTGCTTGAGACCTTATTGTAGAAGCGCACACAAAGACCCTTGAATGAGTTATTAACTTTTTGCAGTCTAGTGACAGACACCGTTAATTTATTGGTATTTCTTGTATTAAAATTGTGTACATCACTTTTTATCACAGAACATAGAGAGAGATTAGAAGTAGTAAGTGGGCGGGGCAAGCGTGGCTGGCATATGCGCTTTTACTCATATGACGCCATTTCCTCGGTTTTACGTTTGCCAGTCGTTCGTCAATCGTCGAGTGGTGATTTTACAGATTTTTTCTATAAAAAATACCGTTTTGTGCTATTATCACTTGCAAAAAGCAAAGCAAAGTATACAATCTAACTAATGCAAACATTTCCTTTCACTGGTAAATACAATTTTAGTGCTAAAATATAAAAAACGTAATAATTTGACACAATGTCAAATAAAATATACATTGATTGCTCAAACCAACATCAATGTTTCTGACCCCATTACTAGACAGCAATGTAAATCGTTTTGTGCACTTTTGCAAAAAATAGTGCTGTGCCTCCATTTGTCTGAAATGTACCGATAGACTGCTGCTGCTCGGAATCGTATTGTTAATTATATGGATCGTAATCGATAACTAAAACATATTTATTTAGAGCTTTTCTTTCGTCATTTCATAACAACGTTATGGATAAGTATATGCCATAATTATATAAAACTAAATAATACTGTTTACAAGAGAAAATAATAGATGAACTTATACTGAACAAATGAAATAATGAACTATCCAGGCACTTTTTTTAGATATTAAAAAATTCTGATGTGCTATAAATAATAAGTGCTTGTAATAAAGAAATGAAAATATCTTTATTACAAGCACTTTTGATTCGTCCAAAAAAAATTTTTCCCCTACCACTTGTTCAGGACGTCTTTTAGCTGACAAGAAGAACAAGCGAAAGAAACTTACCAGCTCTTTGTCATAAGTAATAACATTTACATAAATCATGTCATTTCATATCAAATCACAATAATAAATAAACTTCCAAAGTCTGTAGGACATAGGTTGAACATATAATTAGTCTTTATAGAACAAAGCGAAGGCTATTAATTCCATGCATTGCGATCCTTAAAATAATCATCAACTTTATAATAGCTTTTACTCATAAGTATATTCTTTACATGAATTTTAAATTTATTTATGGGTAGGTCAACTACATTTTGTGGAACTTTATTGAACATAGCAATGCATTTACCCAGAAATTATTCTCTGGTTTTCTGAAGTCTGAAGCTTGGAACGGCAATTTTATTTTTATTTCTTGTGTTAAGATTATGAACACTACTTTTTTTGTGAAGGAATCGTAATGTTTTCTTGCGTACTCATATTTTCATAGATGTATTGAGAGGCAACAGTCAAAATATTTTTTTTTTAAATATTTCTCTGAGAGATTCTCTAGACCGTAAATTATATATAGCGCGGACAGCTCCCTTTTGTACAATAAAAATATCTTGAATGCTAGCCGCAGAACCCCACAACAATAGACCATACGTCATTACACTATAAAAATAACTAAAATATACCAATCTTGCCGTTTCATCATTTGTCAAGAGTCTAATTTTCTTAACAGCAAATGCTGCAGAACTCAGTCTACTTGACAAATCATCAATATGAGGATCTCATTGCAGTCGGGAATCTAGTGTAATACTAAGGAAGTTTGGTCGATTCCACCAACTCAACTTTTTCACTATTTAAATTTATAAGTGTATTAACATTCCCCACATTAGGTAATGCAAACTTTATGCATTTCGTTTTATTTGAATTAAGCTTTATATTATTACTATCAAACCACTGTAGAACATTGTGGAACTGAATTACATTTAACTGTTTAATAACAAAATTTAAAGCTCTTATTTTATCAACTAATATTATGTCCCATCACTAATATGCACAATCGGAATGATACCAGTAAGAAAAAAAAAAATTAGGCTTAATGTGATTAATACAAAAAATCTGTTGTTTTATTATTTTTGTTTTTTTACACTTTTCCTCGCCTAATTATATTACTCCACAGACATATGATCAAAATCAAAATCAAAATTTATTTATTCAGTTTAGGCTTTTACAGAGCACTTGTGAAAGTCGAAAACTACGCCATCGGTTCGCAAAACTACAGCGGGAGACCTTGTATTGAGAAGAACCGGCAAGAAACTCAGCAAGGGCTGTTTTTTTTCTCCCTGTTTTATTTCACACAGAGAAGTCTTATTGAAAAATGATAGAGTTTATCATTAAGTTTTCTAAGTTTTTGTACTGCGTTTTTTTATCAGATATTTTATTAAATTATATAGGGAAAAGCGTTATTTTTCACTATTCACTTGGTTACAGCAAAATCTAATCTTAATAGTTCGCACATAAAATGATGTCCCCAATTTTTTTAAATGTGCATCATCTTAATATATTTTTTCCCTTTTGGTATCCCCGTATACAAGCTGGACAGTCACGTGACAGTTCAACATTCATGTTAAAGTAAATTATTTATTATCACGTTAAATTAGAGTTTGTTTTTAATCGTGTGATTTTTTAGCTTAGTATCTTTTTGGAATTTTGTTTATGTTATCGCGAACGTATCGCGTGGCGGTTTTTCATGTAGTGAACAAAATGATTATTTCATCTAATCTGCATTTGTGTGCGGAGAGGCGACACTCGGTTCCCATACTAAATTAATATCATTATACTTCTATCTCTCTCTATGTTCTGTGCTTTTTATAGAAAACAAACTAATATTTTTACGAACGTACATTAAGTTCTCGTATATGTATTGAGAAGCAACAGTCATTATGTCTATTTCCTTAAATAAATTGATCTAATTGCTCTTTTCTGAAGCACAAAAATTGTTTGTATATTGGCAGCATTTCCCCACAATAGGATTCCGTACGTACATTACAATATGAAAGAAACTGAAGTATACTAATCTGGCAGTATCTATGTCAGTTAACCTACGTATTTTCATTACGGTATATGCTGCAGAGCTAAGTCTACTCGACAATTTATCAATATGTGGGCCCACTGTAGTTTAGAATCTAATGTTATTCCTAAAAATACTGTGATATCCACAAGGCCCATGTTCTTATCTTTTATATTAACATTTATATCTACTTTTTCAACATTAGGTAGTACAAATTTTAAGCATGTACAACCTATAATCTACAGACTTTGAAATACCTACATATTATTTTGGTAATGACATGATTTATGTAAATGTCATTACTTATGATAAAGAGCTGGTAAGTTTCTTACGCATGTTCTTCTTGTCAGCTAAAAGACGTCCTGAACAAGTGGTAGGGGAAAAAATTTTTTTGGACGATTCAAAAGTGCTTGTAATAAGCCTACTAGAATAAAGATATTTTCATTTAATTTCATACAACTAAAAAGTGAAGCTACACGTTTCTCTTAGTTGACTCGTTCTTCATTCTAATGCTCATTCAACTCCCGCCGAAAAAGTAAAAAAATGCTCCGCAAAAATGAAGAAATACAGTGGAAAAATATACGATTTTCTTTCCCAAATACGCAAAATATGAAAGAATATTACGTTTTACACTTAAATCATTAACAATTTTGACATTAAAAACAACAAAGCTCGTTTCAAAAAATAAAAATATTAAAATAAAATAATTTAAATTTGACATATAGTCGTTAGTGTTGCCTATTCACTTTCAATTTTCCCAACTATATGGGAGCTTTTTATTTTTATTTTACGTTGCTATAATTTATCTAAATACATATCTTCTTTTATTTAAGTTATAAATTAATATTCCTTTTGATTTTACTATTGTATATTTAAAAATTTAAGTTACATTCATGTTGTTAGCTTTTACAACTGCCAGTAAAGTTTTCATATTAAAATGATTTATTCATAATAGTACTTGGTGAATCACAAGGAAAAGGATGGGGGCGTACCTGGTTCACTACGTCCCAGCGTGCTCGATGTTCTGGACGCGCGTCTTATTTCCTAGTGGTGCACCACACTCTATATCACTTGTTCGCGAGACAAA